AAATTGTCAACAAAACAGAAAGGGATAAAAGGAAGTCCGGCATAATCCTACCCGCAGATGTACAGTGGCTTTTAAGTGTGACAAATATGCAAAAAATTAAAAAAACAGGAAGGGGGCAAAAACCTTTTCACACCACTGTAGATGTTATAGAAGTGACTGGTTCTAGAGGAACTGGAACAGTAACAGGTGGAAACAGATGTTAAATCAAATTCAGATGATGAAGTTAAGTGTTCTTCATGAAGAAGATCATTATGAGGGGTTTCGTTAGAAAGGCCACGTCCAGTCCACTCACCTGTAGAAGTAAATGACTGTAGGTAAATGACCAGCGATATTTACAAGATGGAATATGGTGCCAATTCAGATTCATGAAGGCACTAATAATTATGGAGGGTTGTGTTTCAATATTACAGTCCTGTGAAACACTATCCTCACCTGTAGATGTTGAAAGTATAGATGTGGAAGTGACCGGCTGTAAAGAAACTAAAACAAATGGAATCATGTTAAATCAGAATCAGATGCTGAATCACTGTGCTCTTCATTAAGACAATAATAACTATGGACAGCTCTGCTTTAATATTACAGTGCAGTCCAGCATCATCCTCACCTGTAGTAGTAGAAATGGTAGATGTTGTGGAAGTGATTGGCTGTAAAGAGACTGAAAAAATAACAAATAAAAACAGACGGTAAATTGGAATCAGATGCTGAATTAATTTTTCATGAAAAAAATAAACAAACAACAACAAAAAAACATTATGAGTGGTTTCTTTTAAAAGGTTACATTCAGTCTAGCATAATACTTACCCGTAGTAGCGAGACTGGTAGATGTTGTGGAAGTGACCGGCTGTAGAGGAACTGAACCAATAACAGATGGAAACAGATGTCAAATGAGACGCAAAGGATGAACTAATGAGTTCCCCTTCTAGGGAACTCCACGCTGCGTCCTTTAGCGGACACAATGGGGAATGCTGCCAGCATTACCGGTGTCTAAAGCACGTGTGAAACAACACCAATCCTATTGGTCCACGTGACCCGTGACGTCATTGGTGGATGCCCGGAAGCTGAATACTTCACCAACTTTTGTTGCCTTCATGACAATGGTTCTGGTTCCAGTCCCGGTTCTGTTTGAAGTGCGTGTGAGAGACCAAGGCAGGTGAGCGTTGTAGAAAGTGTGTGCCTCCGTGCCCGAGAACACTTGAAGACACACAATATCTATATGTGTCATGTGTCTTGGTCAGGGGCTTGTGCATTCGGTGCTCTGAATGTGCACATTGTGAGTGTTTCCAATGAGAAAGCTCCGTTTGCACTTGTCCCTCTTCTCGAGAGATGAGTAACAAGCGTCTGTTCATGGGTTTCAGATACTCTTTTTAGGAGTTTTTGATCCTGCATATAGTCTCGCTGGGTGTGGATATATTTAAATACTCTGTTGAGAGATGCTTGCAATCTTTCTCTCCCAGGGTGTTTCAACACATAGAGTGGTTATGGGGAATGTTCCTTCCTGTGTTGGGCCGGATGGGTTTAGGAGTGGGCTGCCTCCCCAGGCTTCTGGGTATTTTTAAGTGGGTGGTACCTCTGAATCCCTCTTAGTAAGTTTGGGCTGAGTAGAATGCTTCCCCCTCTTCAGGGCTTTAAGTGAACAGCCTCTGCTCAGAGTGTAGCTGTCTGTGGATGGTTATGCTCCAGCTCAAGCTTGCTTTGCTCTGGAATATAGCGGTCTGAGGGCAGCTATGTTCTATCCTGGCTTCTATAACTAGGTTGGGTTCCCCTTTGGCACAAGCTCTCTCAAGTAAGCGCTGAAGTCTTCTTTAGGAATCTGCTATTCGAGGATAGCTGTGTTCCAGCTTGGAGATTGCTCCCCTTTTAGGGTTTTTAAGTAGTGGTCTTCTTGAGCCCCTTGCCTAGACTGTGCTGTCTCCCCTTCTAGGTCTTAGGTCACTTCGTGGTCTGGGCAAACTTTAGCCTTATCTGAGGGAACTGCTTTTCCAAGATAGATGTGTCCAACCCTCTAGTGTTATGGTCACTGCTTACATCAGGCTTTGATCTTGGACTAAGATGTTTATGTGTTCACTCTTTAGCAAATCATTTACTGATGGTCCGGATCTCCCTCTTGTGAGCTCCTGATCGAAAACACAGTGCTTCGTTAGCCTACTGTGGGACTGACACTGATTGGGGACCTCCTTAGTATAGCCATCTGAGGGTGGATATATTCCAGCCATTGCTATGACAGGATGGCTTACTTAATACAGCTATCTGAGGCTAGCTGTGTTTTAACTGGCGAGTTCCAATGAGCCCTCTCCTGGAAACATAGCTATCTGAGAGCTATGTGCTAGCTGTTCCCCTTTCCTAGAGCCTAGCTATCTGAGCATAGCTATGTGCTAGCTCAGTGATTACTCCCCTGCTTAGGGTCTTAAGTAGCGGTCTCCTTGAGCCCTTACCTAGACAGTGCTGTCTCCCCTGCTAGGGTTGTAAGTAGATAGCCCACTCTCTGTGATCTGGGTAGTTTCAGTCGGTCCCTCTTTTGGTAGCCCCTTCCTAGGTACATAGCTATCCTCAGATATCTGAGGATAGCTCAGTGACTGCTCCCCTTCTTAGGGTCTTTAAGTAGTGGTCTCCTTGAGCCCTTGCCTAGACAGTGCCATCTCCCCTGCTAGGGTTGTAAGTAGATAGCCCACTTTCTTTGGTCTGGGCAGCTTTGCAGGAAGGCCTTACTTGGCTATTTGGGCTAGCTACGAGCCTTCATAAGACCCTTAGGATATAGCTATCTGAGGAAAGCTGTGTTTTAGCTCAACAGCTACTTTCCCTAATTAAAGGGTTAGTTCACCCAAAAATTAAAATTAGGCTGCGTTTTACTCACCCCCGAGGCATCCTAGGTGTACATGACTTTCTCCTTTCAGACAAATCCAGTCAGAGTTATATTAAAAATGTACTTTGATCTTTCAAGCTCTATCATTGCAATATATAAATATATATATATATATATATATATATATATATATATATACTGTATATATATATATAATACCGATATAAGCCAAGAGGAGACTGGTTTTTAAAAACAAATGTTGGTTTTCATGAGACTCACCGGCGCATGCGCAACGCTGACCTCATACGTCATGCTCCCGGAACTGCTTCTGTGTTCAACTGGTGGCGCAGCGTGGAGTTCCCTAGAAGCGGAACATCTGGGGTTGCGCATGTAACCATGGTTCCCCGAGAGGGAACAAGACACTGCATCCCCTCGCCATGCCTTCGGCCTGCCTGTTTACGTCTCTTTCAGACAACTAAGTTGGTGACGTATTCAGCAGGTGCCCTTTTATTCTTCCGGGCATCTGCCTTTGACGTCACGGGCCATGTGGACCAATAGGATTGGCATTGTTTTACACGTGCTTCAGACACTGGTCATGCTGGCAGCATTCCCCATTTTGTCTGCTAGAGGACGCAGCGTCTCTTCCCTCTCGGGGAACCATGGTTACATGCGTAACCCGAGACGTTCTTCATGAAAAAGATTATTATGATGCGTTTCTTATGAAAGCCCAAGTTCAGTCTAGCATCATGCTCACCTGCAGTAGTGGGACTGGTAGATATTGTGGAAGTGACTGTAGGTAAATTACCTGTAATATTTACAAGATGGAATAAGATGACAATTTAGATTTAGATGAAGTACTGTGCTCTTCATGAAGAACAGAAAATCACCATGAGCGAGTTCCTTTAAAAGGCCACATTAAGTTTTGCATCATCCTCACCTGTAGAAGTAGAACTGCCAGATGTTGTGGATGTGACCGGCTGTAAAAAGGCTGAAAAAATAACAAATGAAAGCAGATGATAAATCAGAATCTGGTGCTGAATTACTGTATACTTCATGAAAAAAAAATCATTATGAGGGGTTTCTTTTTAAAGGATAGATTCAGTCAAGAATCATCCTCACCTGTAGATGTTGTGGAAGTGACCAGATGTAGGGGAACTGAAACAATAACAGATGTTGAATCAGAATCAGATGCTCAATTACGGTGTTCTTCATGAAGACAATATTAATTATGGAAAGTTGTACTTCAATATTACAGTGCAGTCCAGCATCATCCTCACCTGTTGAAGTAGAACTGGTAGATGTTGTGGAAGTGACCGGCTGTAAAGAGACTGAAACGGAAAAAAATAAAAAGTGCAAACAGATGTTAAATCAGAATCAGATGCTGAATTATTGTGTTCTTCATGAAGAAAAGATCATTATGAGGGGTTTCTTTAAAAGGTTATATTCAGTCTAGAATCATCCTCACCTGTAGATGTTGAATTAGTAGATGTTGTGGAAGTGACCGGCTGTAAAGAGACTGAAACAAAAACAAATGCAAACAGATGTTAAATCAGACTCAAATGCTGAATTATTGTGTTATTCATAAAATAAAATAAAAAAAAAACATTAAGAGGGGTTTCTTTTAAATAGTTACATTCAGTCCAGAATCATCCTCACCTGTGGAAGTAGAACTGGTAGATGTTGTGGAAGTGACCGGCTGTAAAGAAACTGAAACAAAAACAAATGCAAACAGATGTTAAATCAGAATCAGATGATCAATTAATGTGCTCTTCGTGAAGACAATATTAATTATGGACAGTGGTACTTCAATATTACAGTGCAGTCCAGCATCATCCTCACCTGTGGAAGTAGAACTGGTAGATGTTGTGGAAGTGACCGGCTGTAAAGAAACTGAAACAAAAACAAATGCAAACAGATGTTAAATCAGAATCAGATGATCAATTAATGTGCTCTTCGTGAAGACAATATTAATTATGGACAGTGGTACTTCAATATTACAGTGCAGTCCAGCATCATCCTCACCTGTGGAAGTAGAACTGGTAGATGTTGTGGAAGTGACCGTCTGTAAAGAGACTGAAAAAATAATGAAAACAGATGATAAATCAGAATTAGATGCTGAATTACGGTGTTATTCAAATAAAAATTGAAGGGTTTCTTTAAAAAGGTTACATTCAGCCCAGAATCATCCTCACCTGTAGATGTTGAACTAGTAGATGTTGTGGAAGTGACCAGCTGTAAAGAGGCTGAAAAAATAATAAAAACAGATGATAAATCAGAATTAGATGCTGAATTACTGTGTTATTAAAATTCAAATTGAGAGGTTTCTTTAAAAAGGTTACATTCAGTCCAGAATCATCGTCACCTGTAGATGTTGAACTAGTAGATGATGTTGAAGTGACCGGCTGTAAAGAAACTGAAAAGATAACAGATGGAAACAGATGTTAAATCAGACTCAAATACTGAATTTGTGTTATGAAAAAAAAAACATGAAGAAGGGTTTCTTTTACAAGGTTACATTCAGTCCAGAATCATCCTCACCTGTAGAAGTAGAACTGGTAGATGTTGTGGAAGTGACCTGCTGTAAAGAGACTGAAACAAAAACAAATACAAGCAGATGGTAAATCAGAATTAGATGCTGAATTACTGTGTTCATCATGAGAAAAAAAAATATTTTAAAAGGTTACATTCAGTCGAGAATTATCCTCACCTATAGATGTTGTGGAAGTGACCAGATGTAGAGGAACTGAAACAATAACAGATGGAAACAGGTGTTAAATCAGACTGGATGAGGATGAAATGAGTTCTTCATAAAGAAGATTATTATGATGGGTGTCTTATGAAAGCCCAAGTTCAATCTAGCATCATGCTAACCTGCAGTTGTGGGACTGGTAGATGTTGTGGAAGTGACTGGCTGTAAAGAGGCTGAAACAAAAACAAATGCAAACAGATGTTAAATCAGAATCAGATGCTCAATTACTGTGCTCTTCATGAAGACATTAATTATGGACAGGTGTACTTCAATATTACAGTGCAGTCCAGCATCATCCTCACCTGTAGATGTTGAACTAGTAGATGTTGTGGAAGTGACTGGCTGTAAAGAAACTGTAATGATAACAGAGGGAAACAGATGTTAAATCAGACTCAAATGCTGAATTACTGTGTTCATAAAAATAAAAAAAATCTTTAAGAGGGGTTTCTTTTAAATGTTTACATTCAGTCCAGCATCATCCTCACCTGTAGATGTTGAACTAGTAGATGTTGTGGAAGTGACCGGCTGTAAAGAGGCTGAAAAAATTATGAAAACAGATGATAAATCAGACTCAAATACTGAATTTCTGTTATTTATGAAAAAAAAAATAATGAAGAGGGGTTTATTTTACAAGGTTACATTCAGTCCAGAATCATCCTCACCTGTAGAAGTAGAACTGGTAGATGTTGTGGAAGTGACCGGCTGTAAAGAGGCTGAAACAAAAACAAATGGAAACAGATGTTAAATCAGACCCATATGCTAAATGATGTTCCTCATGAAGACACAAGTTATGGAGAAGCTTCTTTTGAAAGCCACATTCAGTTCAGAAACATGCTTACCTGTAGTAGTGGGACTGACAGATGTTGTGGAAATTACTGTCAAGAAACGACGTGTAATATTATCAGTGATAACATAACAATTTTTTGCAAGCCACAGTAACAAACTGACCCGTGGAAGTAAGACTGGGAGATGTTTTGGTAGTGAAATTATTTGTTTAATAAGTGCAAAAGCATTAGAAATTGCGAGTACAGGTGTAATTTACACCACTGCAAAGACTCAGTAAATATTCACTTATATTACATTAGCTATATTATATTACCACTTGAGATGGTCTCTGTTGTGATGGCTGTAAGAGCTGGTGTTAATGCTGCTAACATCTGAAAGTTTGGATGAACAGTAATTAATAAGCAAATTTCTCTTAATATATCTTGTACACGGGCACTCAAAATGCTAAATGCAAAAAAAAAAAAAAAAATGTCTGCCTTGATCTACAACTGTAGATCGTCTCTATTTAGAGAAATAAACACTCACACAACTGTTCAATTCTGCAGATCCACAAACATTCAGTCAAAACACACTCAACAGAGGAAACATCAGACTACATTACCAGCTGAGGTCATCTCTGGTCCGACTGTTGTATGAGTGCTGCTGATGTTAGTAACAGCTGAAAAAAAATGATGACTGATAAATATTAATGAATCAACGATCACACAAACAATACAAAGGGCTCAAGTAAATATAATCAGCTGCACAGAATGTTACAAAACAGTGAGTTATTATTACTCCGACATCATAATCCCAGTTGTGTCTGTGTAGTGGACTATTAAAGGAAGAGGGGTTCACACAAAATACATAAAAGTAAATCACCATTAAACTAGGAGAAGAATAGAGTGAACGTTATAGTTACCTACACAACGTGTACATATGAATAAAACACGCTGTCAGATTTTAATTGAAAGGATTATTATTGCCACTTTCATTAGACACCAGTGTATTTAACAAACTCAGAAACACCAGTGTGTATTTAACAAATGTCTGTTTTGCTAGCAATTAATTTAAATGTCTGAAACCTAAAATAAATGTTATGTGGTTGAAAACACTGAATAGCATCAGACAACGCATTTGAATTTAGCAGTGAATGTTCTAAATTAACCGGTGATGGTCCACATCGAAGGGGGGGGGGGGGGGGGGGGAGAGGGGTCAAATTGAATCTGAGATCCAACGGGTGTCCCTCGGTTGAAATTGCATTCAGTTTAGATTGCTTTCCGTGTTTAAAATCATATTCTGAGGGTGAAGGGGTGGGTCCTTCAGATCATTGCAGGGGGGCTTCAGAACATCAAAGGTGGGCTAAGCCCCCCAAGCCCCCCCCCCCCCTTGACACCAGGCCTGATTATAACCCTGTTTTCACCATTGAATAAACAAACAAAACAAAAAAAGGGGGTTATGGCAACTTTTCAAGTTCATGTTGTAATTCAGACTTATTTTCTTAGCATTTTCTTGCATTTCAGACTTTCTTTTCTCAGAGTTGTGTCTTTATTTATCACAGTTTTTGAGAGTCCTGCTGCTCTCATGCACTTTTTTTAACGCACACAGTAGAGCAACAGCTGAGATCAAGATTTTCAAATTAATTTGACGTCACAGTCAAAACACACTCAACAGAGGAAACATCAGACTACATTACCAGCTGAGCTCGTCTCTGGTCCGACTGTTGTATCGGTGCTGCTGATGTTAGTAACAGCTGAAACAAATGATGACTGATGAATATTAACGAAAAGAGACACAAGTAATACAAAAAGCACATGAAAATATAATTACCTGCACAGTAGCATGAATAACGGTGAGTTATAACTAACCAACTTATAGACATGCACACAGATATGATCATGTGATAGGAGCAGCATTTATTTCATGCATGATTTAGATTTGTGATTTATCAAATGAATCACAATTGAAATACTGAAATCAAATGATTTATGATGTTTGTGAATATTTAACTCCTATCCTGATTTTTTTCTCCTGTGAAGTGACATACTTCTCTCTGGTGGAGAATGCTGGATTTTCTCAATCATTTAGTTTGCTTAAACTCCACCCCTGTGTGCTCACAATTCTTGAGTGAGAACCAAGTCCCTTCCCTGCACTGTTTCTTATCCAATAATCGGTTAAACTTCGATGTATAACTGTTCCTGACATTTGCATTAACAGCTACAGGTCAGAAAATAAGTCACAGTGTGTTATATTACCAGTTGAGATGGTCTCTGTTGTGACAGCTGTAGAGCTGGTGTTAATACTGCTAACATCTGAAAGTTTGGATGAACAGTAATTAATAAGCATCATGAACAGCATAATGAAATGGGGCTGAAGCTGTGATGCTTTTTTTTCTTTCAAAAAAAGCACCAAAAGCACCACAACAGCACTCTTCTGATGTCGTACAGTATCTTTGTGAGGAACAGACTGAAATTTAAGTTGTTTTTCACTCATAAATTCCTCTCCTCCAGTGTTCTGAAATGGACTACAAAAGTTGTGTAGATTTGACTATAAAAATGCCTCAGCAGCATCGTGTTTCCCCCAGCACCC